CTGAGATAATTTCTAAACATCACATTATGCTCCAGAAAGAGATTAGCATGCTTGTTCATTGGGGTTTTCCATTCTTTGCCTTGGGCTGTGAGGAGAGGAATAGCTACATAAAGCATAGTGAGGAAAGTTCAGAGCGAAAGTGAGGTAAAGGAGAAAGGAGAGGAAGCATGAAAGAAAGTGGAAGTAGAGGAAGGACTGTGAAGAGAAGAGAAGGAAATAATCATAAAGAAGAAGAGAGAGTACTTCCAAAGTGTAAATTACAGAGCATAATCTGTCAATATCAAGACCGAGATGAGAATAATGCATCTTAATGTTGTGGCCTCATTTTAAAAAGCTTGCTAAACATTTTTATAAGGGTGCAGGGAAAAGTCACAAAAATAATTTGTGAAGCAGAAGTGCCTTAAAAATAAGAGAATTGAGAAGCTTGATCTGTTTAGCTGAGCAAAAAAAAGGACGGAGAAGTTATTTCATAGAAGCACATAAAAAATTTTATGGACAGAAAAAACACTAGATTTAAAAATGGGCAATGGTATTACTAAGAGAAGCAATGGTTTTTATGTCCCTCAGTGTTTTCAAATCAAAACTTAATTTCTTCCTAGAGTAAATACTTCCATCAGGCACAAATTACTGGAATACAAACAAGCACGAGTGGCTAAAATGTACCAGCTGGTGTGGCAGAGGGTATCAAGGTGGACAATGTAACTGACCCTTCTGCTCTTCAGCTTGGGACACAACGGCAGTCTAAGTGACAGGAGTTGCCTCCAGAGGTTAAAGGCTGCTGTTTTCACCACCACCTTCTCAAGTGTCCTTATTCCTAAAATCCTGGTGACTGGGAAGAGAGGGGGTAGGGACACTGTGTGAGACCCAGCTCCTCAAGGACTCGCTCACGTGGTATAACGATAGAAATACAACAACAATCCACATAATGGTGGAAATTAAAAAAAAAACCTTTATACTGGTATATTTGTTTGGTAAGTCAAGGAGTTCTGAGTGATTTCGTCTCTTGGATTATTTCCCACTAAAATACCAGCTCAAAGAGTAATTATTATGACAGTAAAAATAGTCCCAGCATACAATGCAAGCTAAACTCCAGAAATTAGATAACAGCTTGTCTTCATTAAAAGTCTGCAATTGACTACTAACATTAACATCAGTTCATGAGAGAGGGAAAAAAAAAACAAAACTAACCAACCAACCAACCAACAACAACAACAAAACAAATCAAAACCAAAAGCAAAACACGACAAGTATTTTAGATGATCTCAGTGACTGACCTGGCAGGTTTCCTGCCTGTTGCAGGAAAAACTGCTTTCAACTTCATCTGTAGGGTATTAAAAAAAAATCGTGATCAATGCTTGTTAAAGAAGTTACTTAGGCAGTGAAACAGCCAGGGATTTATTTAATATTCCATGATTAATACATCATTATTTAATTATGTAATTATATAATAATATAATTGATCCTATTCTTGATTCCTTCCACAGATTATTTCTCATATAATGTACAAAGCTCAGCCTATGTGGTAATGAGCCCTGATTCACAGAAGACAGAATAATGCTTCACAAAACCAAAAACTATTGCTTACTTTCATTTCTGTATGGTGATGGAAAGGGGCTTTGCAAGATATTCTCAAGTTCAGCCAGCACTTTTCAGACAGACCACAGAGAGAATAGATTTCACACTGGGACTGGATCACATTGTCACCTCCACGTGTCCATTTCAGCCACTGACTGTGAATGAAAAGAGCGTCAGAACAGTATATCTTTCCCTGTTTTTGCTGTTGGGTGGCTACATGAATTGAACTGGGTAGAGATTTATACGTTCGTATACATCTGAGACCTCTTTTCTTTGAATGTGCCACCAAATAATACAATCAAAGCTATGTTGGCAAGATGGCACAGGAGTGTATATATTTATATAGCTTTTCATAACATAGTTTTCAAATGAAAAAGCAGACTTCTGATAATATTGTTTGTAGTCCCTTGTGCTATATTAGTTTCCTGCCTCTCAGAGCAGAGACATAAGAAACAGGAATACAGAAGCGGTTTAACTCTGTCTGTGTTGCTATAGCATCTGTCTGAATTCAGAGCAAGTCAGTTAAATTAATGATAACTCTGATGATATGAAATTTCTCCAGATAATAATTTCTGCTGACATTGGAATCCAGCTCTAATTCCAAGGTAAACTCACCCTGGAGCTATTTTGAACTGGCTTCTTGGGATAATATCTACCTTTAATAGTAAATTCAATGCTGTGTAAAGTCCATCTACAAAGTGTTATATCCTATGAGTCATAGTACCTGAGCTGTTCAGTAGTTTAGTGCACCCTGTTACCTAGCTTTTTAAATATAATGGATATCTCCTTTGCAAGTGTAACACAGTTCCCAGAATCACACTAAAAAGGGCGCTTACCTCAGTTCACCTACTACCATCTCATATCACCACCAAAAAGCACTTGAGTTCATTTAGGAAAATTCCACAAATCTGTTGAGTCCAACCAAAAAGTTGTCTGTGTAATTGAACCTTAGGCAGTTCAGTTTGGAGGGGACATCAGGAGATCACTAGTCTTACCTTCTGCTTAAAGCAGGGTCAACTATGACCTTTATTTTCTTCAACCAGAATACAGACTTTCCTATTACATCTGCATGAGGATGATAATGGCTATGTCTTGACTGGTAAATTAAACAGCCCCAGGGAATGTTAGCTGTCACCAAGAAAAAGTGGCACAGACTGGCCAACTCCATTCTTCTAAACTATTTTTGCTTCCAAAACCAGGCAGTTGCACTGGAAATGGTCTTCGTCACATGCAAGCTCCTGAACCTGGGGACAGGTAAGAGAGCTAGTTGGCCAGGAAAAAACCTTCTGGGGCTGTTTTAAGTATCTCAAAGCATAGACAGAACCTTGCACAGTTAAACTGGTCAGCGCAGATGTAGTGTCACTGTCTGAACCTGCAAGGCGTGAATTCCAGGGCATTCAGATTTTTGGCAGCTACAGAAAAGGCTGAAAAGCAGATTTCTGACTTTTGGCTCACCTTCTACATGCAAATAGGAAAGCTTCTGATTAACAGCACAAAAATCAAATACCCATCAAAGAATGCTGGCCAGAAGGAAACGCCAAGATCCAATTAAAATCAATTAAATTTTTATCACTGACTTGACTGAAATGAGATATGGCATGAATAGCATCAGTCACAGTTGCCTCATCCTGGATAAGATATCAGACAGCTTGTGAGGTAAAAAGGGCTGCTTTATAGATCATCAATAATGCAGCTTCATGCACATACTTTGTCAAAGTATTTGCAGAGAGCCTGTAAAACAGTTGAAGCAAATAGTTTTTTTTTTTAATTAGAAGCTTCAATGATAGTTTAATAAATTTACAAGGCAGAAGAACTAAAAGATGTGGAATGCCTGAGCTTATGCAAAATGAGCACTCTTCACTTTTTCAGTATCTAGTTGTTATGGTTTAACCCCAGCCAGCTACTAAGCACCACACAGCCGCTCGCTCACTTACCCCTCCCCAGTGGGAT